AGCCGCGCCAAAAAAGAAATGCCCCGGCGGGATCCCACGGATCCCGGTTGCCGCGCTCCGTTGCTCGATCAGATGCCAGGGAGGACGACACTCGGCACGATCAGATGCCGGGGAGGACGACACTCGTCGGAGGGGGAGGCTGCCGTACTGCGCATGCTCGAGCATGTGCAGTACGGCAGGGGGGCGGGGATGCGACGGCGGCAAGACGCGCCGCCGATCCCACGGCCAGGATGAAGCAGCTCAACCAGATGAACCACCGAAGGTAGGTGGTTCATCTTTGAGGCGCTTCATCGGGGGAAGGGCCGGGTTGGAGGCGGGAGCGCGATGCCAGGCAGATGTTGCCGTGGGATCACGCCCGTCTGATGCGCCTCCAATCGGGCTGCTCCCGGCCCAAACTGCCTCGTATGAACGGGGCCTAGGTTAATTTTTCTGAACTTTAAATCAATCAATCTAAAGTTCCTACAGGACTTCCCTGAAAATTACAAAAGTAATGAGAATGCATTTGTAAAAGTCCCCAAATTTTGAAATCATACAACTCCTATGGGAGTCCTTTGAGACAGAGCAAGAAGAGGGAAGCAAGAGCCATTGGAAGAAAATGGAATTTTCCCTCCCGTGTAAATCCCCCTCTTGTATATGCATATGTTGAAGAAAAAGAAGTCTCGCTAGACATTAGTATGCGCTAGATGTGCTGGAATTCATACTTTAGCAAAAAAATGTTATGGAATCCCTATATATCAGTATTTCAATCCTAACTTCAAATTCTAACCTTTAGTCATTGGAAAACTAGTACATGTTGATGGGTAGTAACTCTTAATTCCTTTTTTGTTTTTTGCAACAATACCTTTTTTTTATGATGAAGGACAATTTCAGTAATCTATGCCCTTGTCAGGAGGATGGACTTGGTTTCTTTGGGCTACTGTAAGAGTAGTATCAATCATACTCAGGGTGGTGCAGTTTAGCACTGGAGGAAAGAAAATATGACGTTCCCATTTGCATATAAAGCATGTACCTGCATCTCTGTTCCATGGAGCAGGAGGCACAGAAAATGTACCTCTACTTTAATCTTCTTTTCTGAGGACCCTGTGAAATAAGGACAGAAGCTATTTCCATTGCTGAACTTCCAGAAACTTTCTGCTGCTGAAAATCCTTTCCCTA